ACAAGGAAAAGACTAACGGATGCGATCATACCAACTCACATGCACCGGATCCCATCAGAACTCCGAAGTTAAGCGAGTTTGGGCGAGAGTAGTACTAGGATGGGTGACCTCCTGGGAAGTCCTCGTGTTGCATCCCCCCACCTTTTCTGGTTTTTTTTTTTTTTTTTTTTTTTAGTATTTTTAGCGGCTTGTATGAGGGGCGCCGAGTGGGGATCTCGGGAGATGAGAGAAAGCAATAAAAAAAGAAAATTAATTTTATTTTTTAAACTTCGAAAGGTCGTCTTGGTTAATATTTTTGAATATGATGCGATCGTTTAGAATTTGCACATGAATAAAGGTTACGAGGTCACGGGCAAAGAAATGGTTATATGGAATTACAAGGGAAAACTAACGGATACGATCATACCAACTCACATGCACCGAATCCCATCAGAACTCCGAAGTTAAGCGAGTTTGGGCGAGAGTAGTACTAGGATGGGTGACCTCCTGGGAAGTCCTCGTGTTGCATCCCCCCACCTTTTTTTTTTTTTTTTTTTTTTGTATTTTTAGCGGCTTATATGTGACTCGCGTCGTGGATAACCGAGTCTCGGCTTTTTTGGTTTTTTTTTTTTAATTATTTTTTAGTATTTTTAGCGGCTTATATGAGGGGCGCCGAGTGGGGATCTTGGGAGATGAGAGAAAGCAATAAAAAAAGAAAATTAATTTTATTTTTTAAATTTCAAAAGATCGTCTTGGTTAATATTTTTGAATATGATGCGATCGTTTAGAATTTGCACATGAATAAAGGTTACAAGGTCACGGGCAAAGAAATGGTTATATGGAATTACAAGGGAAAGACTAACGGATGCGATCATACCAACTCACATGCACCGGATCCCATCAGAACTCCGAAGTTAAGCGAGTTTGGGCGAGAGTAGTACTAGGATGGGTGACTTCCTAGGAAGTCCTCGTGTTGCATCCCCCCACCTTTTTTTTTTTTTTTTTTTTTTTGTATTTTTAGCGGCTTATATGTGACTCGCGTCGTGGATAACCGAGTCTCGTGCTTGGGAGATGAGAGAAAGCAATAAAAAAGACAATTAATTTTATTTTTTGAATTGCGAAGGATCGTCTTGATTAATGTTAATTAATTTTATTTTTTGAATTTCGACGGATCGTCTTGATTAATATTTTTGAATATGGTGTGATTGTTTAGAACCGAAGTAATTTGCGCATGAATAAAGGTTACGAGGTCATGGCCAAAGAAATGGTTTTATGCAATTACAAGTCATAGACTAAAGTATGCCATCATACCAACCCACATGCATCGGATCTCATCAAAACTCCGAAGTTGAGAGAGTTTGGGTGAGAGTAGTACTAGGATGTGTGACCTCCTGGGAACTCCTTGTGTTGCATCCCGCCACCTTTTTCTTTTTCTTTTTTTTTTTCCGTATTTTTAGCGGCTTATATGTGGCCCACGTCGTGGATAACCGAGTCTTATGCTTGGAAGATGAGAGAAAGCAATAAAAAAGACAATTAATTTTATTATGTGAATTTCGACGGATCGTCTTGATTAATATTTTTGAATATGGTGGGATCGTTTAGAACCGAAGTAATTTGCAAATGAATAAAGGTTACGAGGTCATGGCCAAAGAAATGGTTATATAGAATTACAAGTCATAGGCAAAGGGATGCGATCATACCAACTCACATGCACCGGATCCCATCAGAACTCCAATGTTAAACGAGTTTGGGCGAGAGTAGTACTAGGATGGGTGACCTCCTGGGAAGTCCTCGTGTTGCATCCCCCCACCTTTTTTTTTTTCTTTTCTTTTCGTTTTTTTGGTATTTTTAGCGGCTTATGTGTGGCGTGCGTCGTGGATATTCAAGTCTCGTGCTTGCGAGATGAGAGAAAGGTATGGGAAGGACTATTAATTTGTTTTTTGAATTTCGAGAGGTCGTTTTGATTAATATTTTGGAATTTGATGCAATCATTTGGAGCCGGTGTGATTTGCACATACGTAAAGGTTACAGGGTCATGGCCAAAGAAATGGTTATGTTGCATCCCCTCACTTTTTTTTTATTTTTCATAATTCCTTTTTGCGTATTTTTAGCGGCTTATATAAGACGCGCGTCGTGGATAACGGAGTCTCTTGCTTGGGAGATGAGAGAATGGAATGGGAAAGACTATTTATTTTGTTTTTTGAATTTCGAAGGATCGTCTTGATTAATATTTTTGATTATGGTGCGATCGTTTAGAGCCGATGTAATTTGCACATGCAATCATACCAACTCACATGCACCGGATCCCATTAGAACTCCAATGCTAAGCGAGTTTGGGCAACAGTAGCGCTAGGATGGGTGACCTCCTGGGAAGTCCTCGTTTTGCATCCCCCCACCTTTTTCTTTTTTTTTCCTCTCTTTTTTTTTCCGTATTTTTAGCGGCTTATATGTGGCGCGCGTCGTGGATAACCAAGTCTCGTGCTTGGGAGATGAAAGAAAGCAATGAAGAAGACGATTAATTTTATTTTTTGAATGTCGAAGGATCGTCTTGATTAATATTTTTGAATATGGTGCGATCGTTTGGAGCCGGTGTTATTTGCACTTGCCTAAAGGTTACGGGGTCATGGCCAAAGAAATGGTTATATACAATTACAAGTCGTAGACTAATTTGATGCAATGATAATAATTCATATGCATTAGTTCCCATCAGAACTTCGAATTTAAGCGAGTTTGGGCGAGAGTAGTACTAGGATGGGTGACCTCCTGGGAAGTCCTCGTGTTGCATCCCCCCCCCCCTTTTTTTTTTTTCATAATTCCTTTTTGCGTATTTTTAGCGGCTTTTGTGTGGCCCACTTCGTGGATATTAAAGTCTCGTGCTTGCGAGACGAGAGAAAGGAATGGGAAGGAGTATTAATTCTGTTTTTTGAATTTCGATGGATCGTTTTGATTAATATTTTAGAATTTGATGCGATCATTTGGAGCTGGTGTGATTTGCACATTCATAAAGGTTACGGGGTCATGGTCGAAGAAATGGTTATGTTGCATCTCCTCACTTTTTTTTTTTTTTCATAATTCCTTTTTGCATATTTTTAGCGGCTTATATGTGACGTGTATCGTGGATAACCAAGTCTCTTGCTTGGGATAAGAGAGAAAGGAATGGGAAAGACTATTTATTTTGTTTTTTGAATTTCGAGGGATCGTCTTGATTAATATTTTTGAATTTGGTGCGATCGTTTGGAGCCGATTTGATTTGCACATGCATAAAGGTTTCGGTGGCGGAAGAAATGGTTATGTACAATTACAAGTCGTAGACTAACAGATGCAATCATACCAACTCACATGCACCAGATCCCATCAAAAGTCCGAAGTTAAGCGACTTTGCGCGAGAGTAGTACTAGGATGGATGCCCTCGTGGGAAGTCCTCGTGTTGCATCCGCCCACCTTTTTTAATTTTTTTTTTTTTTTCATAATTCCTTTTGCGTATTTTTAGCGGCTTATATGTAGCGCGCGTTGTGGATAACCGAGTCTCGTGCTTGGGGATGAGAGAAAAGAATGGGAAAGACTATTAGTTCTGTTTTTTGAATTTCGAGGGATCGTCTTGATTAATATTTTTGAATTTGGTGCGATCGTTTGGAGCCGATGTGATTTGCACATGCAGAAAGGTTACGCGGTCTTGGCCAAAGAAATTGTTATATACAATTACAAGTCGTAGACTAACGGATGCAATCATACCAAGTCAAATGCACCGAATCCCATCAAAACTCCAAAGTTAAGCAAGTTTGGGCAACAGTAGTACTATGATAGATAATCTCTTGGAAAGTCCTAGTGTTGCATCCCCCACCTTTTTATTTTTTATTTTTCATAATTTGTTTTTACGTATTTTTAGCAACTTATATGTGGCCCGCGTTGTGGATAACCGAGTCTCGTGCTTGGAAGATGAGAGAAAAGAATGGGAAAGACTATTAGTTCTGTTTTTTGAATTTCAAGGGATCGTCTTGATTAATATTTTTGAATTTGGTGCGATTGTTTGGAGCCGGTGTGATTTGCACATGCATAAAGGTTACGGGGTCATGGCCAAAGAAATGATTATGTACAATTACAAGTCATAGACTAATGGATGCAATCATACCAACTCACATGCACAGGAAAAAAAAAAAAAAAAGTCAACCAGTTTTCACAACCAAAATAGTGTTGAACGAAAAAATAAATTAGGCCTAGCGAAAATATCTGGACGAAAACCAGCAGCCACTAGTTCTATCACAGGGGCACAACACCGAATACTTGAACAAAGAATGGCGCATAGAGCATCGAGAACTGCAGGACAAACGAAACAGACAACCACGAGGAGACAGGAGTTGACCCATATGGCACATTGACAAGAGGCTTCCGTTCTCAGAAAGCACGTAGTGTGCTCTGAGAGAGTTTGAACATTTTGATGGCAAGCAACACAACGAAGCGTTGAAGCTTTCACTTTTCCACCATGAAAATCATCACAGGATTATATCAAAGGAGAAAATCTGAGACTATCCCCGTTTGGCGAGCTGGGAGTGTTTGACACGGGAGTGGCCATCCCCACTGAGATTAAAACTCAAGAAAAACAATGTGTACGCCAAATGATGAATCCGCCTACAGTTGCCAGTGCAGCGCACATCCCAATCCTGTCAAAGCATAATCAAGTTCCAAGCGAAAATTAGTAAGAACATTCTCAGGTGAATTCGTACAAAATGTAGCAACACAATGCAAGAAGTTGGAAGAAAGAAGAAAATCAAACATAAGTTACCAAATAAGGGAATAATAACAAGCGCCGAAAGTATGATTGAACAGAAGAAAATAACTAAATAAATACCTCAGTTCCAGAGAAATGCCCCATTGCAATCCTAACATCAGCAAGGTTCAAAGCAGGTGCATCATTCACTTCATCAGTGGGGGTGAAAGAACTGAACTATACTTACCTAGCACATTGTGGACTAAAATACTATTCCCTAAGAACAAACTGAATTAAAAGATAAAATTGTTTCACGTTGTGGAAATTTTATCTCAGTCAATTCACACACACACACACACACACACATATATATATACGCGTATATAATCTGTACAAAATGGGGATTAAGCATTGCAGATTAATACCCCTCTAGCCTTTCTATGACTATGACTACATCCACTCTAACATATAGAACTTACTGTAATATGGATCATATAGGTCATATCTTCTCATTGCTTACTTCCAAACTCGTACAATATCCAACCTGCTAATATTAGGAAGGAGCAATGACATCCAAGATATAGTGGCCATCTCATCGACGTCCCCTCACCTCCATAGAAGTACACATAGGAAGTAGAACCCATAAAGCTAACGGAAAATTCCTATCAAGTAATACTACAAAAGCAGACACAAAATTTACCCTAGAAAGTTGCTACTGCCAGAACTGCCCATGCCAAAAGTTATATCACGGACCAGGAACTTCACACAACGTGTCCCGATGTCATCCAATATCTCAAGACACTCCTGCAAATCTGCATCACAGACTAACATCACCCATTCCTCTTCGTCATCCAAATACCTAAGTTGGAATGTCCCATTTTGCAACTTCAACCTCTTTGCAACCTCTTCATACAGTCGAAGGCACCCAAGAGAAGGCTCAAACTTGAACCTGATTATATCCTCTATATAAGTAGCTTTCACAATTATTTTTGACCCATTCTCACCGGTGGTTGTCTCGACTTGTGGGTGCTTATGCTCCTCAAAGCTCTGAGAGCTTGATGAGTAGCCCTGCATTATTGAACCAAAGCCATTTGATGAATCTGTCAAGCTCGAAGAACTATGCTGGTTATATTCAACAATTCCACCATTTCCATGTACTCCCATATCCATCTCATCAGTAGCAACCAAGAAGCCTGAGCTCTGAGACACAAAGTGGCAGTCAGAGTTCTGAGTGTAACCCCAGTTATTAACTTCTTTTGCAAGATAAGAGCCCTTTGTATCAGGTGTTGTCCCACGGTTAATAGGATCACATGACCCAAAATCTATTGCAATGGGCTTGGAATCCCCTTGAGGCATGAGAGGGATGCTCTGATTTTTTACCTCATTCTCATGAGAAGTTGGAACACAACTTCCATCCTTTTCCAACTTAACAGTCAAAATCTCACCATTATTGATAGACAACGAAGATACTGAAACAAGATCTTGGGTAACTGGTTCAGAGTTCTCAACATGCAGATTCTTCTTGGGAAATAAAATATTTTGGGGCGCATCAACTTCTTGAATGATGGATCCCGTTGCCACAAACCTCCCAGTAGTTGGGTCATACTTCAATCCTCCATCCACCCCCTGAACAGAATCAAGCACAGTCTGTATTTTCTCCAATGAACGGTTCACCTTACTTATTTTACGAGATGGCCATTTCATGATACCATGTTGTCTGCATATCCTTTTTAGCGTAGTGGGGCAAACTGCCAAAAGACAATGATATGTTAAATAAAGAAATCCTTTCAATAGATTAGCAAGAATTATACTTAAAAATAAAAATGATAATTTGAATCAAAACTTGATAGTAAATGTTTTCTATACATGGACTGACTAGACTCTAGCATGGAGGAGATATATGATTCTATAAGAAAAATACTGAGCGTAGAAAAATAAGCTCCATCTGCAGCTTATCACAGAACAGCTTAATAATCAATAGAGAATACGTGAAGTTACTTATTATAATGAGTTAGAGAATATGTGAAGTTACTTATTATAATGAGTTGATTAAAGCTCATATAGATTCTGAAAAATATAAACATCTTCTTTTGATTTAACTAGTAAAGCATCAAATCCAACAATAAGTAGATTCGTCATGCTTGTCTCTCACCTCCTATACTTTTTGCAGCATCCTTGAGACTACCAGAGAAGTATTGCTGTAAAACACTCAAGCTCACATTTTTCCCTGTTGTAGTTCGCTTTTTCTCCACCTGCCTTCTTGATCCACTCGGTGCCTATACAAAGAACAATATAAAAGTTATCCCTCCCACAATATTCCTCAAGTGAAGATCCAACAATGAAACATTATAACAACAAAGCTTTCCAAGTAGCGATAATAAGGACCATTTCAGTGTTTCCATACTTAAAGAAACAAAATCATGGAGAAGTTTAATTTCAACCAGTAATAAGAAACATAAGGATAATGTGGTCATAAGGACCCAATGCAGAACATAGAAGATGAGGTGAGTCTCCCACATAAATTTATAACATAATATTTAAGATAGAGACTAAGATGCACCTCCACTAGTCAATAACGAAGTTCATAATGTATCAATAATTTATCCACAATATTGTTCCTTTATAAAAGCAATACCTTTCCAGGAGGATTATCTCTTTTGATTCCCCCATTTTTTCGATTAAAAACATTAGAGGTGACATTCTTCGCTGATTTCATTTCACTATCTGACAGTGTTGTCCGAGAATGCCTCTGTGGGAACCTAGTGTTGGTGCCTTCTAACCCAACTAATTCTGCATCTGAAGCTGTCCTTAAACTTTTACAAATTTTCTGCATGGTACCTGAGAGGTTGTTTAACAGAAGTTGTTGTTCTGTACTCCCCTTGACATTGACAGGGAGAAAAAACTCCAATATATAGTCATCATCACCGGTGTAGGTGCTCCTTAGCTTGATTGCAACGGCAGCATTCAAACCATACTTGCGTGCATGATGAACAAGTGGATATTCACATATATCATACACCTTAACATCATTAATGAAGAACGGATGATTTGATTGAAGTGCTTTCCCAGCAATTCCCTCCCCTTCCTCAAGATGATGTTCTGCACATGCATGCACAAAGCCTTGCATTCTGCTATCATTTACATAACAAGCTGTTTCCTCGATGCATATTATACATTTCTCATTTGAATTTGTAATACCCCCTTTGGCACGTACTCTTTTAATTTCATCACCATTACCCTCAGAGTAGCAACAAGGAATCCAGGTCATAGCCAATGGCAATAAATGCGCATGACATACAACCCGTAAGACATCACTTATTTCAGTTAAAGCAGCTCTTTGGTTCTCTGAGAGGCACTGTGAGAAAAAGTTCTCTTATAAGTTCATAAAATTTTAGTAAGGAAAATATTATGACATAAATAAATAACAAAGAAATAAACAACATATTCTGACATGTACCTGGGGAAGAAGTCGGAGTGGCGCATTGGTCCTCAAATTAACGGCCTGCAAATAATTGCCATCAAAATATATTAATTTTTACACTTTAACATTGACATCATTAATTAACACATTAAAACATATAGGGTAGTATCATTTGTACAAAAGCTTGGGAAGCACCACACAAAAATTAGTAAATGTAACTTTTAGGGCATTCATTACATCTACTAATTCCACTAACATGAACCTAAAAGCTTAAAAAGAGAAGAAGAAGGATATGCATCAATCATTTGCATATGGTATGTGTGTGTTTGTTAAACGAGAAGAAACTGACCTGGAGCGCACCTGCAAACTATTTCCATCTCTGTATCAAAATTGGCCTTCGCTTTTGTACTGACGAGTTCCAATACAGCGCAGCAGGACATTTCCATGTCAAAATCAAAAATCGGTAAAGCAATTGATCCACGAACTTGATGATTAGCTGCATAATCCACCCGTAGGTACTCAGTCTTATTGTAAAAAATAACGTTTGAAGTCCACTCTGGAATTTTGGAGACAAATACACGGCCAGGAAGACCCAAAATAGAACTCTGTTTTCCTTTTGTAGAGAACGTAAACATCCTTGAGACTTCACGATACCCTGCAAGAATATGGTCAAGCAAATAGGGTTGCTCACAAGTGCTTAATAAGTACTGATCACCATGCTTCATGGGAACCCATAATTGCGCTAAAATACCCCCACTGGAAGTCTCTTTAAACATCGACAGTGCCTTAAGCATCTTCTCATTAAGTGACAACCCAGGTGGCCTATAGATCATATACCTTTCCATGTCCATGGGATTATTGTGTTGAAAAGAACTATTATTTAACTTAATAGCTGAGTCATTAGCCTCATCGGAATCAGTTGACACCCCATATTGGGGGGTCCCCATTTGATCAAACACAATTTTGTCTCCACAACTGAAATTTTCCCCAACGTTGAAAGTTCCAGCACCACTTTGCTCACCATTCGGTTCTACAAAATTCAAGGCGTAAAAAGGTGCATAGGTCACTGATGTACATGATGGCACCCCTAAAGAGGCTGCAATCTGGTCCGTTGCTGCTGGGCTGCACCATCCAGAATAAGTATCAAAGTTCATAAGCTCAGAAATGTTATTAAACATATCCTCTGGGATCTGGATCGTTGTTCCACCATCAAAAGATGCCAAATTCTCAACCTGAGCTCCGGCAGATGCCCAATGATTGTTTCCCTTATCTTTAGGCAAAAAGTGATAATCCATATTCAGATTAAAACCCTGTTATAATTTGACCAAATAATTAGCCGTGTATTGCCATATCAATCGTCTCAATGAGGCATTTCAAGCTGCAGAAAAAAAGGCACTAAGCATGGTAAGTATGATAAACACCAAATGGAACCTGCTATGAATTTCGGATCCAGTTATCTAACATTAACAATAAGGATATATTAAACACCATCGCATCTTAACACTATCAGTTTGTGTTTATTAGTGAAATTCTCAAAACACTACCATGCATCTATTCGGACTGAACTCGTTACTCTAGTTAACAAAAAAATCATGAACATTATGAGCATAGAATTTTTTTAGTAGAACTCATCTGTTCTGACCAAACTCATTACTTCAGTTAACAAAAAAATAAAACATGAACAAATAAGCTCTTATTTGAGCATCCAAAATTCTTAGTGGAACTGGAACCCAACAAATTTGATCAAAATTTTAAAAAGGTAAATAATAAATATCAATTCTTCATCTGAATAGACCAACAGTAAACCAAATCCATTTCTTTTCTTCTTTTTTTCAAACAAAAAAAAAAAAAGAGGAATTGAGGAGCATAAATTCCACCAAATTTCAAAAACAACAACTCTAAAGCTCTAAAAATCAAATTAACAAACAAAAACTCAGCATCTATTAATCCCTAGCTCAACATATCAATTCAAACTACACGAAACCAGTTAAAACCCCATAACAAATAAAATAAAAATTCAAAATTTGCAAGCTTAGTAACATACCAGTGAATAATACACGAAGAAGAACCCAAAACAAAACCCTAATTTCTAAAAACTTGCATTTTTTTTTGTCAAACGTGCCTACCTTGACTGGTAAGAAAAATCCCCAATTTTATGCTTTAGACATAACAACGCTTCCGGACTCTCGGAGAGAGAGAGAGAGAAATGATTCTGTCGTTGCGAGTTGCAGGACAAGCCGACTGGGTGTATGTTTTGAGGGAGGTTCGGGACTGAGGAAGACAAAATGAATTGAAAATTTCGTTGTGACATGATAACGCCAGATACCATTGTTTGTGACGTCGACGGCAGATACCGTTGTTTGTGATACCGCCAAATTTCGCTCTGTGAAATAACCGCCGAATTTAATTTGTTTGTAGTTTTTCTATTAAAAAAAAAAGGAAAAATAAATTTTGTTTTTAAGTTTCTAACATCTATCAGTCAATACTATGGTCTAGTAGTATTCATATTCACTTATAAGTGAGAAGTCTTAGATTCGATTTTGTCAAAGGTGAATTTGTACCATATTGTTGCTAACCCAGTGTGAGACTAAGCCCACCCGCTTTTCCTTTGGTATAGATAATATCGTTTGTTCAAAAAAAAAAAAAAACAAAAACAAAAACAAAACAAAACGAAACTTCCTGACATCCATATCCCTTGCCCCATTTGAGACAAAAAGTCTATCCACTAAACAGATTTTGAAATTTAAACTCATCTAACAGTAATAAATAGAGTGGTGCGCGTTACCATCACTTGAAAGTGGTGAGAAAAAATATTTCCTATTTACCGACCTTTTTTTTTTTTAATACCTCCCATATTCTTGTTAACTTTTGTTCATTAATCTTCTTAAATTTATTTGTTTCGATGGTGGAAAAATTAAGAGATGTGTATGAGAGATAAGAAAATGTAGGTAGATAGCATCACTCTTTAGACAGTTCTTTCACTTGAAGAAAATTCAAGATTGTTTGATAATTATTTTGTTCTTAATTTGAGTTTAGATTTTTTTTTTTTTTTTTAATTGAAGTGTGTCATCTTTAACGTGTTTTGAGATATCAAACCTTATTTCATGATAATTACATGAGATTCTCTTTCTTATTCTTAAACAAGTCCTTGAGAGGGATTAGTTGAGTTTATGTTTTGTCTTCGTTTTCTTTTCGTTTGTTTCCAAAAATTGTTGAGTATGTGACTACTCCAAATTCGAATGTAATCACATATCTCATAACTAGTTACCTACTCGTTTTCAGGTTGCGTTAAGGGAGATAAAATTTTGTTGTTGATGATCTTTTTGTCAGAAAGCCAGCAATCTGATCTTGTGTGGCAACAAAACTAACTGTAAGCTCTTTTCGAGTAACTTTTTCGCTGATGTCTCGACATGGCGAGTTGGAGAATGAAATACTTGGTAGACTCCAAGGAGATTGCTGAAATATTGTCACACCAAATCTGTGGTGATGACAGTCGAAGATCAGGAACAATTTTCGAAGCCATGATAGTGTGGTAGCTGTAGATTTTAGCTGGTGCTAATCACTAACCCAAGCTTACCTCATGTTGTAGAATATGGTCTTATGATAGAATTTTGGGTTAACTATATTTTACACTCTTTCAGTTTTGTGTGATTTTTAAAATGAGACGTTCTCATTTTGCATCATACTGTTTTGAAATTGTATCAATTTATGTCTTTGATATGATTGATTGATTGCTCATTCATTAACTTGATTATATGGTGAGTGTGAGACCCTTATATATATGAACTAATATGTAAGTCACATATGCACCACTTTGACAAAAGAAAAAAGCAAAAAAAAACGCATCAATTTGAAGAAGAATTAGATGTTTAAAGCGTTGAAAATGTAAAAATTAATAAAATTTCTGAACACCAAGGTCTAATATAAGAAAATTAAAATCTCCTGATCCATTTTGAAAATCGTTTTAAACCTAAAAGGTGTAAAATACAATTAAACAGTAGAATTTTCGTATAACCTTGTGCCATTAGCCTCCCAAGTGTAAATCATTCGCAAGCAATGTGTTGTATGAATCACAAACTTACATGGCAAACTTGGAATTAGACACTGAAAATCAATAAGCAAATAATGATCAGAGAAGTTTTGTACAACTACAGAATTACATGGCTGTGACTGAAATATTTCACAATTCCTCCTCTCTTTTTTACCTCCTCTTATTTTTACTGCCCAACAACAAGGTAAGGTAAAAGAGAATCCTAAAGAAGAACCCCAAAGCAATGGTGATCCACAAGCAACTCCATTTATTGAGGTCCGTGATCCCTTGTTGCTTCAGTATATCTGCTCCGGTGGTCACGCAGGTGGACGCCGTGATGTTCACGCCCAAAGTTGTGCTCATGCTCTTGAGAAGCTTCAACTTCATCGCCACCGGGAAGGCTCCTAGTGGTGAGTTGTCGAACATCTGGGTGCCCGTCACGAAGCACTTGATTGGATCATCAAACTCGTTTTGCAAAGCACCCTCATATGGGTACTTGACTAGGGACATGTAGTGAAACCAAAGCCAATAGGGTGGGATTTTATCTCTACTTATGAAGAATCCACTAAAGAGTAGGAAGTAGGCTAGAATTGCCACCACAACTGTGTACCCCAACATGACCTGTGTCACGACGCCTGACAGGAACGTGACGAATGAGCTTCCGGCCCAGAAGGCCGCGAAAATAGTGAAAAAGAAGAAGAGGAAGCCATGGAGCCCGCCAGCGAGCCCCACGGCCCAGAAGGTCGTGGCGGCAAAGGTTAAGGAGAGGAAGGCTAGGGAGGGAATGGAGATTAGGGAATGAGCTAGGACGTATGAGGACCGGCGGTAGGCATTGTATGCGGTTTCGCGCATGAAAATGTAGCGTTCTTGGAGGAAGCTGGGGATGGCCTCAGCGCTAGTGTAGAATGTAGTGGACATGGTGAATGCGAAGAACCCTAAGCGCTCTTTGATGCCTTTTGGGGAACTGTCTAGGTGCCAAAACATGGTGGCTAGGATGATGCCCGTGACGAGGACAGCGCCTAGGCGAATGCCGAAGAGTTCGGGCATTCTTCGGGAGTTTGTGAGGGAGCGTTTGGAGATGACTGCCATTTCAATCCAAGAAGGGTTGGCAAATGTGGGGACTGAGGAGGAGAGGTTCGAGTCATTTGGTGCTCCGGAGACTAGTTTGCCTCTTGAGATGCTTGCACTAATTGCATCTTTGAGAGAAAGCTTTGGCTTGCACTTGGAGTTGATCATCAAGTTGTTTTGGTTTGCTCGTTGTTTTTGTTGGTTCTTGGTGATCTGCCATGATTTGTTGAATTCCACCAAGCTCTTAGTTCCACCTGTTTTGCAACATCCAAACGTAAAATAGTCAGCATCAAATCAAATTTACTTCACAAGTAATGTCGAGTAAATGCAAACTTGAGCTTAGCCGAGTTAGCTAGGCTAATGTACCCTCTTTGCAGTCAAGTTGGAATCTCCTTCATGTAATTTAGATTAAATTCGCTATAAAAAAATGTATCAACTACAAATATCGATATCAATTAATAAGAATTAAATAAACATGTATAATTAATTGGGTGGTTTAGATTTTGACCCTTACAATTCATTAGTTTTAGATAAAAACTCATCTATCTTTAAAGATTTAGTTTAAGCCCAAATTTAAAATTTGCAAACATATAGGAACATTATTGACCTATTAATACAATTTATTTACACTCATGCCACTCATACTTTATGGTCCCTTTTCCAAATTCCTAAATTTATGCCAAATTAAAAGTAGTAGAAAAAGTGAAATAAAATGAAAAAGTGTTTGCATTAACCGTATCTATGTCAAACTAGAAAACTAGTTTTTTTTTTTCGTGATATATTTTGTAGCAATTTTATCCATATTAATTGGTAGGTAAATTAGTGTGTTCCAATTATTTAAAAAAAAATACTACACCTATATTATATATTTTTAATCAAATAACATTCCTCTAACTTGTAGGTAAATTATTTTCTATGTATTGTTATATATGTTAGACACGTTTTGTTGTTGTATACACATGAGTGGAACATAATATTGTTGATTTTATACATCAAATTGCATTTCTTTTGTTATAGGTAAATTATTTTCCATGTACAAGTACTTATGTTAGGCAAGTTTTGTTGTTGGTACATACAATATTTTGTATCATTGTAAAGAAAGATATTACATTACAACCATGGTATAAATGTTGTAGGTAAATTATTGGAAATTAATTTGTAGTTAGGTAATGAACATTTTGCATCATTGGAAATGAACATTTCAAAGAGTAGGTAGGTAAATTAATTTGTTCTAATTATATATAAAAAATTACACTACACCTAGTTATATTTAATTTTTCCAATTATTAAAAAAATTTATACTACACCCAACCAAATAACATTTCTCTAACTTGTAGGTAAATTATTTTTCATGTATTGTTAGATATGTTAGGCATGTTTATTGTTGTATAAACATGGGTGTAACATAGTATTTTTAATACTATGCATCGAACTACATTTCTTCTTAATATAGGTAAATTATTTTCCATGTATTAGTAAATATGTTAGGCACATTTTGTTGTTGGTATAAACATTATTTTGCATCATTGTAAAAAAGAGATATTATATTACACCCATGGTATAATTGTTCGTAGGTAAATTAATGTGCATGTAGATAATGAAATACAATGTTCTAATATATTAATAAAAAAAAGGATAAATCCAAAAGTATTCAAGAGTATGGTGAAAGAATTGAATCGAATAGTTTCATGAAAATTCAAAACCTTTCTTAAAAATTAAAATGCAGTAAATTTTTAACATTAATGTCTTTTTTTTTTCTTGTTGCAAAATCATTTACTATTTCCTTACAATTAATTGTCTACATCAAGTATGTAATAGGGGTATTTTAGGCATGTGAAAAATGTAAAATGTGTGAATTAATATGAAGTTAATGAATTTGCTTATGTGGATCCTAGTCATTGGGTTTTCTTTGAATAAAAAGGTTATGTAGGGTTTTCTATGAAGAAAATTGAGTTTAAAGGGCTAAAGTCATATTTTCACTAATTAATTTGATGCAAAAATTTGAAAAACTAATCATATGCTAACTCTACTGCACTCACTACTAAATTTGATCCCAATTTTTTATTTGTCAAATTATCCTATGTTTCTTTTCTTAAAATGTATGCCTACTTTGAATATTACTTGTACCTAATAGATAAAATACGACTGATTGGCACATGCATAGTGAATAAATTTGGTAAAAAAATTTAGCCTAATTGAAAAGGTCACCTGGGGTTTCCTCGAGCTCTCGAATGAGGTCGAGAGCGAACTCAGTCCGATTCTCAGTCTCAGGAATCGGATGCCCAAACTCTCCGAAAAACACTGGAAGATTAGCCCGCGAATCACTGTACACAGTCTGTCCAT